TCACGAGTTTGATTTTCCCTACCAACACTTTCTCGGTCGAGTCTTTCGCACCAAGCTTGTCTAGTGCGGTTTACCTATGTGACGTGATTTGCAGGTTATTGCGTCAACTCGAGGGTTTACCTAGTACGCACCCGAATGATAGTAGCTGCGGGTTTGCCCACCATTAAAAAAAAAAAAAAATTCATGTTAGGGGGATTTGTTTATAGTCGAGTAAATTTTTTAGGTTCTAATTATTTCTTTTGTCTTCAATTTGTATAGGTTACATTGGAATTGGCAATAACAGAATCTTCCCGTGAGAAGCTACATCAATTAATTGGTAATATGGTTACACATTCATTGCCGTGAAAATCTATCTTGTGGAGAATTATACATTTTAAATAAAGTATAAGTTTCAGTTTATAGATTCTCCGATTTATGAGGCTGTCCTAACTGTAGAACTGTTCAAGATTGTTAATTTTTTTGCTTGTGTATTTGCTATTGACAGGACATGACTGTCCAAGATATTAATTTAAAATCCTTTAGAAAGATCCCCTTTTTGCTAATTTCTTCTATCATATTGCCTCGCTTGGATATATCAGATGCTACTTTCGGCTGAACAAATTAATAGAATTTTTTCTGGAAAAGTTTGTTCTTGTTATTATAACCCTTTTGTAAGTACATGATGTAATGGCCCAAATCCAGTGACGGGAAAGATGGTCATGTCATTATTTGAATATGCTGAGGAGATGTTTAGAACTTGAAAGAGATCTGGTAGCTGAAGGATTGACGATAATTGGCAACGATTACGTGTTTCTAACTAGCATCACTGTTGGAACTTTCCTGCTGTTGTTAGAATTGCACAAGCAACTAATGCTTACCATACAGCCTTGGTTGGGCGCAGTAGGATTGGGTCCCCATGCAATCCAGCCCCTTTGAAATCTGACAGGTCAGTGAAACAATTTTCTGATGGGCTACCTGATATGTAAAGTCCCTGCAGCCCCTTTTCTGATGACCAGTAAATTTTTTTACTTTTCTGATGTATTTTCAGTGAAATGGGGTTCCTAATATTTAACTCACTGCCGGAGTTAACGAATGTTAGATATATGACGTGTGCTGGAGCAGGTTTAGGCAAAAGAAAAATGGAAAAAGAAACGAGAATGCCAGATAGAAAATTTGCTAAAGATCTTGAAACCATGGTCATGGAAGATTTGTATTTGATAAAATGATCATCCTTGATAAATTGGATGTACCACTGAGATTGGCAAAAGATCTGTGGGTGAAACAAATTGCTTGCACATGAGAAGTTCATTTGGAACTTTTCCAAGATCTTCATGATACAATGATTCATAGGACCCGTTTGGCAAGAATTCTGAAAAGCTAACTCTACTTTTAGACTTGTTTGGTTAGATTTCTTGAATATACTTTGTTAGAAGGGTTTTTATAGAAAGTTGGATCAAATTGGTGTTTTTTTCTTTAGGAAGCTCTTCTACAAAATGCATAA